CTTAAGGATATTGTGCCAGGGAACCAGACATGAATCTTTTTGTATAAAGAAAATCAAGAATATTTCAGTCCACTAAAGCAAGTTTATAAAACCAGTAGGTTCTGACCAGTCATTTCCTTGCATAGGCAAGTATAATAGTACAGACTATCCAATGAGCCACCAGGCAAATCCCCAAACCCCCTTCACATTGACTTAAAGGAATAACATCAAAATGGGCTGGAAAGGCCCTTCAAGTTCCTGCTCCTACAGTCTCTGCTTCACAGGTTAAGAGATTTCTCTTGAGATGCTGATTCGTACTTTAAAAAAATGAACTTATACTTGGAAGGCTTGCTGCAATATTATATGATGATGTAATTATTTACGTAGTCCCAGCTGAGCCTATAAAATCCAAAAGTTTTAAAATCTATATCTACCATGATAGAGTTAGACAGCACTCCCCATATCACTCACTCACACACAGACACACACACACACACACACACACACACACACACAAACACATATATCCCGCCCACCAAATATTTCTTTAAGTTCCAGACCACTTTTTGATGTAACTGCGTTCTCTCTATTTTGACATTCTTGGAGCAGCCCTCGTGAAGCTTAAGATTAAAATCACAAGTCTTGAAGTTCAGGCAGGGAATAAAGTACAAACTTCGAAGGTGATCTCATGTGCTCAGAATTATGGCTTTAAAGGTCAAGTTGACTTGAAATATGGACCAAACCGAATATAGCATTTAGACAAGGGAGCTTTTTTTTTTTACCTAATCTTAACTAATGCAATGAAAGATATTCTCATCTTTATTATTAACAATACTAATTAAGCCAATACATTTTTTCATACTATTTCTCTTTATAATTTGGAACTGTGACTATTTTAAAAAATAGATATGTTGTAAATGATGGTACTAAATTATGAGCACAGTCTGTTGACTTAGAATAAAGGAAGCCCAGAACACATATTGCCCATTTTAGATACTTAATTTGTGGAATTTTTATACAAAATGGATTTAACAACTCCTGAAAAGTGAAAAATAATTTCTGTAGTTTTTACACTTAAATGGCCTAGGTCAGTGGCAATAACAAGGGGGTATTTTGGAGGACGGCTTTATTTAGCTCCTCTATAAACATCATCAGCCTCCCATCATAACTACCCCAAAAAGAATGCAACCCGAGTAAAACACTGTGTACGCTATTCAAACTCAACTTCAAAACAAGTCCCCAGGCTGCTCCTTCCAACAGACTACTGTCTGGAAGCCGCAACCCTGAAGGTCTAGAGATGGTGTTGGTCCTAATATCTGTGTGGTTATATCTTCATGATAACCATCATTCTGCCTCTTAAATTTTTGTGTCACAAAGATTAGACATGAGAGCATGGAGGTGGGGAGCCTACACACAAAAAATAAAACAATCCTTTTTGCACAAAGGTGTTCATTTGCACAAAAGTGCTAGACCAGTGGCCTGTGTTGTGTGACCGTGGTTGAGCTACGTAATTGTTCTGGGCCTCAGTGTCTCCACATGAGAAATGAGGGACTTGAAAGGGCTGATGTCAGAAATCTTTCGCAATGCTCAGAGCCTCAGATTCCCTGCTTCATCAAATACCTGAATCTGGATGCCTTATCAACACCTGCTGCTGATTCTGTATGTTTGCGTGTGTTTTCATTATCTGTAACCATTTTTCTCCGGAGGAAGTGAGCAACCCTTCCAGAGCAGGACAAGTGTGGAGAACGGAGCTTAGGTGCTCGTGGTGCCAAGAGAGAGCCCCTTGCTCTGCCCGCCCGGAACTTCACCCTTCTACCACCAAATCTTAAGTGTCTGGGGCAGAGACAGCCTGCAGAGTGGCACACCCAGCGGGAGAAGCCGAGTGCGTGATTATAAGGAGAGGACCACTTAGGCTTATCTCAAGCTTCACTTCCAAGCTTCTTTACTCAAGCACACAGTGGAAACAAAGGGAAATGTTTGTGAAAGAAAGTCCTTGGCTCTGTTTTTTGCTCACAAAAGGGACTTTTCCGGAGAAGAGGAAGGTAGTGCAAAACAAAGAAGCCAACAAAGGACTTGGAACAGTCTCCAAGAAGACTCCCGCTTGTGCTCAGAAGTGCCGGTTCTTTGAGCTGCAGCTCACCGTCCGCTGCAGGCGCCGTGACTGCCGGAGCCGCACGGAGCGTCCCGGGCCGGCAGAGCCCCAGAGATGCGGCGGCCGCGGGCCGTGGTCCGCGCTGGGGAGGGCTGCCGGGTCCCTGGGCCCGCGGGAAAGAAAGCCTCAGTGTCAGCCTCCTGCCAGCTCCCATAAGTAGATCTAATTATGACCGCTTACTTCAAAAAGAGGATTTAACCCAAAGCAGATTTAGCAGGGCAGTTTCCAAAGGGCGGCAGGAATCTAAAGCTTGACCTTTGAAAAATCCTAAAGACTTCACTGCCCCAGGAATTCGGTGAGCCAGTCACGGTGGACGCCTCAGATGGCAGAGAAATTCAGAGACGCCAACTTAAGTTATCAGGGTCTTAGTGGGGATGTTTAATTTAGAATAAAGTGTCCGTCAGAGTGTGTCCACGGCGTGTGCACTGGTGGTCAGTCAGGGTATTGAGCTGAGAAAAAACACTGACGGTAAAAAAAAAAACAAACCACATTTAAGCGTTAAAGTATAAACTGTTCCATCAAAAATTATTCTAAAACCATAAAGTAGTTTGAAAATTAAACAAGAGTTCAAAGGTCTCCTAGTGAATTCTTATCTAAATCATGAAAGTTTGGTGACATATCCCAGTGGTGCTGATCAAAGTATCAAAAGCATGTTAAGGTAATTAAAAAAATAATTATTTTTACTTTGATTTTTAAAACTTTCTATATAGCACTTTGCTCAGGAGAAGCTGTTGTAGTTGTTTTAATAAAAGTAAACAACTTCAGAAAGAGAGCATTGGAGTTGTTCACCTAGAGCTGACCAATGTGAACTAGTGGATAAACACATCTGGCACAGGCTCACTGTGTAACGAATATGAGTACTCTGTGACCTGTAACCCTCTCTGTGGTGCGTGATTATTTCAACTATTCTCATAGAACACAAAACTTAGGAAAACAAAAAAGAAAGAAAAAGAAACAGCCTGGATAAGTACAGTCAATCCATCCACATGTCTCAATTAAACCAAAAACTCTGTAAGCCATCTCGTGTCACCTCGGGCATTTAGCTTAGGTGGGAAATTACAGAAAAGACAAACATCTGGTTCTGAATCAAATAAGTTACAAAGTAATCAAAAATTAATTCACACAGGTGCTCCTTAAAATAATTTGATTTCAGATATTTTAAAAAGTCAGTATCAAGGTGCTACTTTTTTACCTGACCGCATTCCAACACAGGACACCTAACCAGATGATTGTTGTAGATATAGTCATGTAGTGCATAATGACGTTTTCATCAACAAGGGCCATAAGATTATAATACTGTATTTTTACTGTATGTTTGCTATGTTTAAATGTTTAGATACACAATCATTGTGTTACAATTACCTATAGTAGTCAGTAGAGTAACATGCTGTACATGTTTGTAGCCTGGGAGCAATAGGCTATCCCATCTAGCCTAGGTAAATAGTAGTCCATAGCACCTAGGTTTGTGTAAGTACGCTCTATAATTTTTGCACAAGGACGAAAACACCTATTGATGAATTTCTTAGAAGGTATCCCAGTTGTTAAGCGATGCATGACTATATATGTAATTAATACTGTTCTTAGGACCTTGTTTGAAATGTCTGTAGCTTGAGGTTGGGAAGTTATCAGAGATTGAGGAGGTAGGGTTTATTCTCACTGGTTACCCCAAAATGTCAAATCAGATTGTCTATTTGTTCAAACATGAAGCTGGTAAACGTTAGCTTACTGGAGCTTAAGACAAGCATAAAGAAAGCATAAGTTAGGGATATACTACATACCACTTCAGCCATTGTTCTCCTTTGCATTTCTCCTTCCTCCAGGGATATGCCAAGTCCAATAATAAGTAAACATTACCAATAATTTTTCAAAATGTTTAACATAAACCTATTCTGTTTCATGCTTTTATTTAGTCTTATTGTGATAGTTTTTTCTAGTATGCAAACTAATCTGAGAAAACCAGATCTCTGTAACTAAATCGATAATAAAGTTGGATAGCTGTTCCCCAGTGGCTCTCAATTTGCAAGTCCTAAACACAAAAGCAGACATGTTTGTAACGCAAAGCATCAGGATTCAAGGTCATTGGTTTCCAAGACTGAAATTGACAGACATAACCATTCAGTTGAAAGACAGGAAGGGAAAAAATAATTTTAAACATACTAGAAAAAAGACTAGATAGTATAGAAGAGTCAATAACAAAACTTTTCAATTTGAGGCCTCTGCTCCAAATGTGGCAACCCCCGGTCTGAGAAAACTAAATAGCTACAATAAATACCAAGATTCAACACACTCAGTTTTTGTTTGGTTTAGTTTGGTTTGGTTATTATTTTATACTGAGTTTTGAGAGTTATGCAACTCTTTGGAAGTTAAGAAGGTGGTTCTAGTCAATAAATAATTTCTACTCAACCAAATGTTAAGATTTTCTACACTGGTATTAAAAATGAATAAGAGTCATTTATAATGGTTAAGTTTAAGAATTTGCCTTCCTGAAAACTGGATTTCAACTCCAAAGAGAAAAGCTAGATTATTTCAAATAGAAGGCAGTTAGTAGAGGCTTTTCAAATGTAGGTGCTTCATTGATCAAGTTCAAATTTAAACTCCCTGGGTTTCTTTGCAGCTATAAGGTTTTATGGCTTTTAACATCCTTGTCGGAATGTAGCACCCTACATATATGCACTTCCAAACACATTCATGTAATAACCTCAGGTAAAGTGTATCTCACTCTCTATGGTCACAAACCTTTTAGAAACCAGAACTGGATTCTGGACACCTGTCTGTGGTGCCCCTGGACAGAAGAATAATCCCTTACGGGAGGGACAGACGTGGATGCCTCAGGCATCCAGGTGTGCCCAGTGGCGTGTGTGCCCATTACCTCTCCCTCTCCTGCTCCAGCAGGTTGGTGAAGTCGTCGCTCTTGTTCATGTAGTCGGTGTGCTTGTGCTTCTCGTTCTCTAACTCGTACACAGTGCGCCTGTGACACTTCTCTGCCAACAGCAGCTGTTCTAGCATGCGCCGGTAGGTTTCTTTCTGTTTTTCCTCAAGTCTGTCCAGCTGAATAAGCAAACATAGGAAAGAGCTTGATACTTTATTTCATTTGCATATGACTCTAAATAATTTGCCTACATTGTTCAAGTGACTTACTACCTGAAGGAGAGAACACTGAGTCTGGTATCCACTGCCATTTTCCCCATCCCGTCATTTTCTCGATGCTGATTGTCTTTATAACTAGCCATAATAACATTGCAGTAACTTCTGGCCTTCTGGCCGTTTTTTTTCTGTAAACATAATGTATGGCTCCTAAACTTTCAGGAGAACAAACTCTTTTATAGTTTTAATGAGAAAGCACAAAGCCCTATACTCAGAAAGAAAGAGGATAACATCTCTTCTGATCCCAGAAAAATTAAGATCTCAGCATGTACATACACCAAACTTCTCCCCTGGGAAGTAATTATCATCATCACAATCTTTTTTTAGAGCTTACAGCTATATGCACTTCTAGGAAACGTATATGAAGCATCCAAAGTCCTCTTTTTTCAAGAGATGCTAAATATAGGAAGGATTTAAAAACTTATAGAGAATCTATATCTCTAAAAGAGGTCTTACCAAACATTACAGGGTGTTTTTTGTGCTCCTTTCTCTGGCCAGGCTATAAGATTTTCAAGGGATCATGTCTTGATCATCTTTTTAGTCCCTAGTGCCTAGCACAGGGCCTAGAACAAAGTAAATGTTCAGTAAATGTTTGTCAAATTGGACCAAATCTTACAATGTTAATATTTTCCCATCTTGCTCACTATCTTACCCTCCCTTTCAAGCTCTAGATCAGGGTTTCTCAACTTTGGCACTGCTGAAGCCAGGTAATTCTTTGTTGTGGGGTGCTGTGCATTGGAGGATGTTTAGCAGCATCCCTAGCCTCTGCCCATCAGATGCCTATAGCACCACCTTTAGTTGTGACAATCAAACTATCCCAAATTGCCAAATGTCCCCTAGAAGGAAAAATCCACCACCACCACAGTTGAGAACCACTTCTGCCTATTTCTTTGCTCTCTCCCCAATTCCTCCCTAAGAAAGGACAGTTGACTTATTTGAAGGCTGTATGTGGATTGGGAACTGGAAATGTACAGTTCAGCTTTTTAATTTTCTATTTTTTACTCTGCCTGTCATAGGATGACACATTGTGACATCTTTTCCGGGATTTCTTAATACATCCAAAGAATTGTGGAGGGAAAATGATGGCGTTATTAATTGAATGGTTGACTAAGAAATCCAAAGAGATAGTCATTGCCTGTATATCTGCAGAAAAAAAAAAACAGCACATTGTAATATCAAGTGTTCTGGGGCAGCCTAGGCTGGAGGTAGACATTAGCCTTAATATATTCTGCCCATATGGGCCTTCGAAACTGGTTGTTCACAGTAGATACAGGCCTGGGTGAGGCCACTGATGTAGGCCACTGGGGTCTCTGTGGGTAATGTTCATGTCATTTATGCTAGCACAACTTGACCCCAATAGTAATTCCATTATCAAGAAGGCAGTCTTTTCATCTCTTATTGTATAAATTACTACATTTATTGGTGTGATTAGTATGTTTCCTGATAGAACTGCAGATCCAGACTTTAAACTGTAAAGGCAGTAAAGTCTTCTGCTATAAGGCATTAGTGTGTGAAGATCTGGCTTTCAATTTTAAATTTTGGATATAAGAACTAACATAAGTAGCAATAGGTCATCTCTGCCATATGCTGCTTCTTATTATTTTGTTTGGAACTACATCAAACTCCTAGGTTAGAACTGAGGTGACCTACCTCTTGGCTCTATGTGCTTGTCCAAAGACTCTGAAGACCACCTGCCATAACTACGAATTCTGCAGATTGATTAATCATATATATATTCTGTGTACATGGCCTTTGGTTTTCAGGATCCAAGCTGTGGCTCAATATAAAGGAATAGTTTTTACTAATGAATAGTGAAAGTGGAATGGGCACCTATAATTATACTTTGGAAACATAGATTCTACTTGGATCTAGGTGGAGGGAAAATTGAATGACATCATCATAACATCAAAGGCCAAAAATTTACTAAGGAAAGAATGTACCTGGAAGTCTTATCCTAATGTATCAGGTTGGTAGAGAAGTGCAAAAACTTGAGATGAGAAGAAATTTCAGTACATTTTAGATAAAAAGATCATGGTTCAGGAGGTAGTTTTAGTCTTGTGGCCTGCAGAGGGCTAACTGAAGAAGTATTAAGGAATTGAGGAAGAGAGAAATCTACTTAAGAGGAAATATGAGGTCTTAAAGACCAAACTGGATTTATACAAAAGGCGAATGGATCTAAGTGTTCTCAAAAATAGAACTATTAAAAAAGGAAGTATTTTGGTCATTGTTGAATCCTAATGGGTGCCCAGAGAAGATAGAGACATGAGAGCCCACAGAACAGAGCAGTTTTACTCCCACCACAAAGAAGGTGTTGGGATTCAGGAAACAATTGAGGAACACATTGTAAATCTGCAGATAGTCTTTCATGAGATCAGACTGTAGTAGCTATTCAAAGTAGTTATACAAAATATGAACAGATTTAAGAATTATAATCTGGGAAGATTAGGGTAAGATATTTGAAGTATAATTTGTTGAGTTTCGGGGTCTTGGCTATTGTAGATGGAATTGCCAATATCTCCTGGGCCCTAAGTGAACACACTCAAGAAACTTTGGGATGTAATGTTTGAAGAAATGATGAGAGAAATGAAAGAGGAATCAGGCAGGACAACAGCAGATATGTCCAGACATGGATGTGGTGTGATGGAAAAGACCCCTTAGTGGATTATCCAACTCCAACTCAAGGACATGAAAGTAGATAAGATTTATGCTAAATAAAGAATACTTTGGGCAGACTCAGAACTCCTTTATTTTCATGTCTCTCACTGAGGGAGACTGCACAATATAGAATATGGAAGGCAATGTTACAAGAACAAATGTCTGGATCTGGAAGCATATGGGAAACAGAAGCAAACAAACAAGCCAAAAAATTCTTGAGATAATAGAACAATAATAAAGAAAAGGACCACTTGAAGAAACTAGTTAAAATGCTAAAATAGCAAGTCAGCTGAGGCTTCCTACTACAGAAAAAATTGTGGCAGAAGAAAATATTTTTGTTGCCTTGAGTTGGACAAGTTACTCAAGGATCAGAAAATTCACACATGAGGGATGGCTAAGTTTTAAGCAATAATAGCACCTGGATAAGGTATGATCTCTTCTAGGCCCCAAATCACACAGGCCTCAGAAGGGTTACCTCCTGAAGAGATGAGTTTCCTAAGCTTGGGCAAAAGGCTAATAAAATAAAAGGATCGAAGAAGTTTTAAATATGCAGGTGCGAAAGTTGAGCACCTACAATTAGACCTAGGCGCTGAGGAAGTCACCCCTGCAAATTCCCAGACTTTGCAAAAAAACAGGTGTGTTTTCAGTGCCATTCACTAGAGGCAAAGACAGTACATGCAAACAGGATCCTCCACCCAACCTAGAGTTCACCCTTTCCCATAATTGTTAACCTTTTGATGGTAACAGGTTTTGTCTTATGTGGACAATTGCTCCAGACTGACCACAATTCTGTTGTAGCTGAAGATTTTCTCTATCTATCTGCCTTCCCGGGGACATGCTCCAAGTCTCTGCTTTAACATGTAAGAGTAACGTGAGCCTGCATTATACTGAGTCCTAAGGTTAAGGAATATAATTTTGCTTGTGGTAAATTGATCTTGGAGTTGTAGACATTGTTGTGTTCTTTAAATTTATGAGTGTGAAGTTAGTACTGTGATAATTGCATGTGTCCCAATAATTCTTTGGATTTTTGGAAAAAACTAGAATGTAGGGAATTGGGATTTCAGGGTATATTTATGCAACTTTGAAAATGCTAATGAGTCCAGGTCATTTTACTAAAGGGGAAAAACAAAAACAAACTATACCCAGACAATCAATTGAGATCCCTCTGGCTAAGGATCAGCAGAATAAGAAATTAGGAATGAAAGAAATAGAAACCTTAATATTTTTTTTTAGAATTTTGCTTAAAAATTATAAACTTTGATATTCTGGACTTTAATTTACAAGTATGTGCAGAGGGATTTAATATTTGCTGTTTAATTTCTCCCCAGATATTTGGCAAGGGAAAGAGGTACACCATATTGGGTTCACTGCTTAACTTCTGGTGAGTCTTATTGGATAACCTAACTGAGCCTAATTCGGTATAGAAATTAGAATGAGTGGTGATTTTTTGGCTTAAGATGCAACATGGCTTCTAGGAACAAGAGCTAGAATACTTGCTCATAGCCCCAAGTGACTAATGAAACAGTGACATATTGGGGTTCTGCCTCATGAATTTGAAAGTTGTACTCCTGCTCCTAGATAAGAAGACTTGATGTTAATCCCAAAAAGTTAACAGACCAAAAATCTACATGTGGTATAAGAAAATCTTTTCTCCTCTATTATTCTATTTCTCTCACAAAGCAGGGCTTCATTTTGGCAGTATTGGGAAAAGTATTAATCCCTTCTCTCTCTACCACCTCATTCATTTTACCCCAAGGGAGGAATGATTCTTCACATTGTTGAGTCAAGAAGAGAAACAAACCAAGAAGTGTGCCCAGCTTAGCCAATACCAGAAGGACAATTCACAGAATGGGTGCTTTCTACTCTTCTCATTTGTCTACAGGCAGGAATATTTGGGTAGGGCCTACTTTCTGAAGGCAGGTCAGAAACTCCTCTCTCTGTATTCTGTTCATAGAACTCAGTGGATTGAAGGCAATGATTCTGGGTAAGTGTGTCTGCTCCGCAGGCCTACCTCTCCCTTGGGGTCATCTCAAGCCCTAGACTAGGGAGAAAAGAATTAGGAATCCCAAATGAGACCATTTATCTGAGCTGAGTTCTCTAATCCAAGTTGTTATTATTATTAAAAAATATGTTTTTGACTTCCATATGTACTTTATTCCTCAAATCTTCCCAAGTATGGAACAAATTAAGGGTATGAGCAATTATCATCCTCGAATCCCAGCAAATGCTAATGGCTAATATTTGTTGAGTACCTAGTATGTTCCAGCCACTATGTTAATAGCTTTATAGGCATTGCTTCATTAAATACTCACAACAATTCTATGAGGTATACATTGTGGTTACTCCCACCTCAGACATAAAGAAATCGAAGTTTCAAGAACTTACGTGATCTGCCTAAAACCATACACAGCTAGTAGTGGGGGATCTCAGACGTAAAAGTAGATCCAGCCTGTTGACTGCATCGTGTCATATAATCATCTCTTAACATTTTAAGAAACGATGAGAATAGAGTTCCAATTTATCCATGTTGCAAAAACTAGAAAATTATAGGACCATCAATCTGTGTTGTGAATGCTGTCTAAAGCAGATCTTGTCTCTGAGGTCTATCAACCTGTCAAACTGAGCTTCTCCAATGGCTTAATATAAGTTAAAAGTTAAATGTACAATAAGTTGCTTCAGATTTTTAGTTTCTGTTCTGTTTTTCATTCACGATACTAATTTCACATCTATAAATTTTTTACATGAATTCCAAAGAGTCCATATGGCTAGATCCATAAACTGGTGTCCTAATTTGGCATTGAACTTCTACTACAATGTGATAGTATTTTTAAAATGTGGTATCATGGATAATTAATAATAATACTCAATAGTTATACAATCTTATATAAAATAATTAAATATAGCCCTATTAGAATTCCTTTCATCTGAAAGAATGTCCCTAAGCATTTCATTCGGATTTCGCCTCAATCATTATATTTTAGCTATTCATATAAGACCATTTTAATTATGACAGAGGCTATAAAATACCAAAAACCAGTGGCTCTATAACCGTTAATATCAATAATAAAATCAATTTAATTTTAGGTTACTACTTTGATAATAATCCGAACAACTCAATGTTAAAACTGATAAGCATTTCAAATTTTCACACACATCATTTCTTAGAGAAGTAGAAGAGTAATATGTGTAACTATCATAATCACATGGATAAATATATTTCTGGCTCTAAGTATATTTAAGGAAAAGCTTCTAAAATTCTTGTCATTGAAACTTATCCACTATAACCCTTGAATTATTTAATTATGCTTTAATTCTATATTAGTAAATCATAAAAATTTTGCCTTTGAAAGAAATGTTAAAGCATATAAATGAAAGAATGTGGAGACATCTCTGGGAGGCTCCCTTCTAGGGGAACTTGTTGGTATGTTTTTACCTCTGAAATCGGTTTCTCATAGACATCTTCTCCTATGGACTTCTCCTGGGCAAGGATGGCATCTCGGTGCAGGACCCGAAGCACTTTCTCTGGCTCTGCAGACCCGTAGTGAGCCTCCAGAACTTCGGGTTTGGTTTTCTCGGTCTTGAGCATGTGGATCACATCTTCTCTGGCCTGTGGTAATAAGTGAAGCAAGGTCAGATGGTTGACAAGGTAAATCACATACTGGGCTCACAAGATCAACACGAAGCTTATTGAATACATCCCCACCTCTTCAGGGCTACTGGCAAATTCACTGGGTATTCTGTTCGTTTTTTTTTTTTTTTTTTTATCAAAAGCAGATTGGCAAGCAGATCCTCTGCTTCAGGTTGCTAGGAAGCAGGCAAGCAGGAAAAAGGGTTTGTGCTAATATTAACTACATAAAAATTGCTTTATCTAAGCCGCGATTATTCAGGGGATGGGGAGGCAGGTAGAGCTGGTCCTGGGATACTTAACCCATTTCAGTGCACATGAGGTCAGTGACAGTCTAAAAATTTCTAGTTTTCTATTTATGCTCGCAATGTAGTATTCAAATCTGGTTTAAAATAAAACCCTGCTGCCTCCATTCTAGTTACAGCTTCATGTGTAATTAACAAACAGCCTTTATTGGTGATTTCGTGTTTCTCATAAGGTGATACATTTTGCATGGAAACATATGGTTGGGAACTCACATAGCGCTAGGCTGTCCTTTTCAATCTAATGTATTCGCAATAAAGGTGAAATTTTACCCCTTCAACACCCAGACCGTCAGTCAGATGAGTCAAGTTGGTGGATCAGAATTGTTCTTTTGGTTTCTTAACACAATGTTAACATAGTGTTGAAGCTCTCAAGAAAACCGCGATTATAGGTTTTATACCATATTGTCTTTGGTTCTCATCACATATTGCAAATACATCTGGACGGTGTTTTGTGCTGATGAGTAGGGAAGATCTGGCAGTTATGATGGAGCTGACATTTGCCGAAGGTACCCCCATCTGGACACACACTTGGAGCTGTTTTTCCAGTAATGGTGATGGGTAAGAAGTATCCTGACTTTAGTCCAACTTGTACTAAAGAACAAACTGGTTGGGAGCAGAGTTTCAGTCTGTGGCAATGGAATAGAGTTTTCTCCTGTAATAATGCTAATTATGGGCTTGAAATTATAAATCTGGTTCATGGTATTCTGAAGAACATAACTAGTCAATCACAAGTATTCACAATATGACCATTATAAAGTTTGTCTTTCTTGAAGTTTCTCACTTTTATTGCTTTTTTAGTCTCTAAATTAATCTAATTCCTGTTGAAACATCAATGAACTTGAATTTGCAGATTTGCAGTGTCTCTGCCACATTTACAGATACTTATTTCCAGATGAAAATGGAAAATATTTATTTTGAAGAACCTAGAAGTTTGGAATGTTAGTGAGAAAAAGTCAGAAAATAGTTTAATGGAAAGGCAATGTGTCTCTACAAAAGGTGAAAGAGCATAAGTACAGATGCAGTGTCAGGCTAGCCTGTGCATTATGCTAATTAGGAAAAACCACCTACTTCATCCAGGAGATACAGCCCTGAGTCAAAAGGCAGCTGACCTAGTGAGTGAAGCGTGGGCTGTATTTTAGCTCCTGTTCATCCCCCCTGCCAGGCACCCTTGTGCAAGGCATAACTCCATATCTGCACTGAAGGAGCCTTAAGTTACATAGATTGCTATTGGTCTTCAGGCAGAAAGTGCTCCTATGTTCATCTGACACAGGTAAATATATATAGCATCTTCTAAAATAATAGTTTTCAAACCTGTGTTGGAATCACCTGAAAAACTTTATTAAAAAATCCCAATGCCCAGGACATTTCAGCCCAATTACATTCAAATTTTTTTAGAGATGAACCCACACATCAGTACTTTTTAAAGCTCCCAAGTTATTCCAGGGTTGAGAGTACTGCGCCACACTAATAGGTTAAGAGACACAGCAACCAAACTGAATACAAATTCTTGGCATTATGCAATCTAAACTTTCCGACTTTGATGCAAGTACATTTCCTATGTCTCTTCTTAGAAAGGTGTCATCACTTTTCTCCTTTAAATCAGCCTCACACCTGAGGTCAACCTTTTGCTTTAGCCAAAGCTGAAGGAAACAAATTCATTTTGAAAGAAGAAGCAAGGACTGTGAATTTAGTGACTTATGTAATGACAAGGAAGGAAAATTTAGAATCACATTTAAAAGTGAAAAAATGGCGATGATAGAAGGTTGGCAAGCTGGAAGTCTCGATAACAAACTACTGTCTCTTTTCCATCTTTAAATCAGATGAAGCAAAAGCTGTTTTCTAAAGCTCACATTTTCATTATGTGAAATATAAAGACTTATGGGGCAGACACAGAATGTACTGTCCTATTACCCATGTGATGAGGGTCCAAAAAAAAGGATGTACTGTCCTTTGAAAAAATAAAATTTTTTAAAGGTAAAAATAAAAAAGAGAATATACTGTCATTTGTAGTATACATTGAGATATGGATTCAAAATGAAATGTAAATATTTCAAATGGTCTTCTCCCCTGCTCTTTTAAACATATTACAGTGGATATTTAAGAAAAGAATAGAATAAAAGCAGAACTCGAATTCTTCAGAAAGAAAACCATTAGAAAATAGATTCGATCATATAGTACTTGGGTAATTAAAAAAATTCTAAAAGACAAAAGAAAATGGCTTAGAAGACAGACACTAAAATATTGGGTAGTGAGATTAAGGGCTGTTTTTAATTTCTTCTTTTTGCTTATAGAGGTATGTATTTTCTAAATTTTTTACAGTGGATATATAATTAATTTTATAAAGAGAAACTTTATAGTTGTAAAGCTGTACTTTTGTAAAGAAGAAAGAAATACTTCGTCATTCCTATTTTACATACATGAAACAAAGGCAAATAATTTAATAGAAAGTTCTTTTCCATATGACCAATGGCAAGAAAGCCACATTCATTCTAGTTATAGACAACCCTATGCACAAGTGTCTCTGGGATTTAACAAAAAGGAAGATGTAAAACAAAAATTGCCCAAAGATTATTCTATACCCTCTTTGGGCACTGGCTTGATTCCTTTTAGGATTATTTCAAACACAGCAATAAAGCTAGATAGAACAGCCATTGAGCTGGGTAATAGTACTCAAAACAGGGTAGTATAAGGATTATACTACCCACCTAACACTTATACCTAACATTATACTTCCCACCTAACATTTATTCTGATTTAGTTGCATTCTGACTAGAGAGCTGAAAGAATAATAGCAGAACTATTTCCGTATGGCATTGCTATAAATGACCTTCTGAAAAAGTGGTTGTCCTTAATTATGGATAAAAGTAATCAGAAAGTGGCTCTCAAATGTAAACTGTATAAAATAATCTTGAGAGCATAAATTGTACTGCTAGTTAGCACAAGTCTACATGACCTGAGCATAAAGAAAATCAAAAAAATCTTAAAGCTATCAGGCACATAAGGATTTGAAATCAAACACAGAAATAAAATTCACATGATGGTGTAGTAGAATGAGCTCAGCTTTGAACAGACTCAGAATTAGTTTCCAACCCCAGCTATGCTGTGTGACTTGTGCAAGCTGCTAACATTGCTTTGACTTAATTTTATCATCTACGAAATAGGATCATAATAACTTCCTTATATAATTGTTGTTAATTTGAAATCAGATATAAATATATAAAATGCCTAATTTAGAATTTGGGACACAGGAGGTGCTGAGTCAATAGTAACAATTTACTGTAGTTTCTGTTAGGTCCCTATCATTAGATAACTTTTTGCTGCATGAGGAGAAAAGGAATTTTATAATATATTTTTTCCCTAACCAAAATACATATAAGACTGATATAGTTCAACTGTCTACACATTTTACAACCTGCTCTTAAGAATATTTTTTTCAAAAAGGAATTTTTAAATCAGAGCAGCCTTTTTACAAAAGTTACTTAATCTCCCTGACTCAGTTTCCTTGTCTGTAAAATGGGGACACCAACACCCCTACTTAGTAAGAGCTTTGTTAGGTTCTAACAAAATAATGCAAATGAAATGCTTTCAAACTGTAAATAGGGTCAAGCATGGTCTACCTATAACCCCAGTACTTTGGGAGGCCAAGGCAGGAAGATTGCTTGAGGCTAAGAGTTCAAGACTAGCTGGGCAACATTAGAGAGACTCCCCCACACAAACACACAAAAAGAAGAATTAGCCAAGTGTGGTGACATGCATCTGTAGCCTGTAATCCTAACTACTTGAGAGGCTAAGGCAGGAGGATGGCTTGAGCCCAGGAGTTTGAGGCTGCAGTGAGCTATGATTGTGCCACTGCACTACAGCCTGGGCAACACAGCAAGACCCTGTCTCTAAAAAAAAATAATAATAAAATAAAAAATAAAATAAAAGTGTAAATAGGAAGCTATTTCAGTTTAATAGTTTAAGTTAATCAGTTTAAAAATATGTAAATATTATTGGCATTTATCTTCTTGACTAAATATTCCTAATTCTCTTAAAAGATATCATCTTTTGTTCCAACTGATATGAAACACCTATTACTTTTCTCTGTAAAATGCACTTGTGCTTGAACTGTATTAATCATGATATGCTATATATATTATATGTTTCATCTTTGATTAATTATCCTACATACTAATTACCAAAGAAAAAGAGGCTATGGTGATGTAACACCGTGCATTATATATTTAGAACCACATTATTCATCATGAACTTACTAAAGGCTCTTTAATTGCTGTAATAATAATTATGGAAGAAATAAAAATGTTGCCTATAAATTACTGCTATTTAAAAGAGCTTAATATAGTAAGTCAATAATTAATATTGTGGTATTGGTCTAATCAATGGATTAAGAAAGATGATTATGATAACAAATTTTTTTACTACTTCAAAGATATGGTTAAATCTATATAAAAAAGATCCTGCATCTTGGGGATAAAACTACTTACTTTACATCTCCATTTTTGAGAAATTTATTAATTTTTCTATAAAGAAATAAAATTCAAAATGTAACAAAGCTTCTGTTCTTGAACATTATTATTGTCACACAGCAGTTTATCAGAAGCAAGTGGCTTCAGTTCTAGGATTCTGGGGAACTGCTAAATAGACCGCTGTATTTAAATACCTGTAAAATGACTTAGA